ATGAAAAATTATCAATAAAAGTGATAAAGTACATTTATTCATTAAAATAATTTATATAAAAAAGTTCACATATATTAGTGTGTAATCTTAAGAAATTAAGTGTTTCTTTTGGCTTTTTTCTTTGTCTGTTTTGTTTATTTACCTTTAAAACAATCCACATATATATTTAGATAAGAAAAATCTAAATCCAAAATGATTTCATTTTTTACTTATTTTTCCATCCTTTCGTTAGAATTATGTCCAAAATATTTATACCACAAGTAAATAGAACGTTCGTTCAATAAACTATGTTTAATGTCAACATTATGATGCAATGTCATAATAGTTTCAACATATAAATTGTCAATAGTTAATTTATATAAATCATCATAAAGTGTACAAGATCCAATTATACAAATATGCTTATACAAACTGAAATAGTCATTCCTAGACCTAAAACAGTATCCAACAATATTATGTTTAGACAAATAAACTAAATTCCTAGCAACACTAGGTACATAAAAAATATCAAGCGAATCTAAATCAAATATAGTGTATAAGATTAAACGATAAATCCCAACAACTTTCATTAGAACTTTTACTCTATTCCCCTTTAAGACAAATTTCTTATTTGAATTTATGGTTTGAGTTGACAGGAACTCCTGCAACATGTTAGAAACATGAATTATACATCCAAAATCAATCCAAAAGGGAAATTTCAGTTAAGTTTAATTTAAAACATACATGAGCATTATCCTCACCCTTTTTTTTTTTCTTTTTCGAACCAAACTTTACGTTTTGGGCAATTCTTCTGAAAATGTCTAGACTTCCCACAAAAATTATATTTGTCATTTTTCTTCTAGATTTTAGTAGAGGGATCATTAATCTTTAATAGTCATTTACCTTTTCCATGTTTCTTCTTAGCTCCCTAATTATTTACATAATAAATGGAGTGGTTTCCTTGATTCTTAAGTATGGTTTCCTCTTGAATTAACACAATATGTAATCCATACACCTTCTATTTGTCTTTCATGTATTATAATTAATTTAGAAATAGTCATATCAGGTAGTAATGAGTTTAAAATGAATTATACAAGAAAATTCTCATCCATGGTATTTCTAAGACACTTAAGTATTATTGCAATAATTGTTATCTCAATGACATATTCAAGCATAATACGAGAATCATGGTGGTTAAAATACTCATTAATGTCCCAACAAGAGACTTATCAGTATTATAAAAATATTCTTCAAAAAATTTCATAAATTATTTTACACTTTCAATTTTGGAAAGAACATACTTAATGGTATTTATTATGCTTATTCACATAAATATCAATTTTAATTTGTTTGACTTTTCGTTGTAATGAACTTTCTCTTCATTACTAATAATATTAATAATAGCAATTGGTCTCTCAATTTAAATAGTCAAATATCTAATATATATAAGGGAAATATAACTTATTCACTCTCATTAAATAAATTCATATATATTAAAGGCTAAAACAGACATAATATGTGAATAAAAAGATAATAAAAAATAAAAATATTACAATTAACATATGCTTAATATTTAATATTTTGAGTTATACAAAACATAATGGTACTAATATATTATCATTATTTGGTAATATATATATATATATATATATATATATATATATATTAATTAATTAAACATACTTATTATCGGATATAAACACATTTAATAATCTATAGCCCTAATAACATTTATATCCATTACTTATAAAAATAAGTAATCAACCGAATTTTAAAATAGAGTAATTGTTATAAATTATTATTAATTTTAAAATTAAATAAATTTAAAATTTAAACTATTTTATGAATAACAAAATTCATTATATACTTAATTTCAAATAAATATATATATTTTATTTTTATTAACCATACGTAATATTATCTCATTAATTTCATTTTAAACCTATATCATTCACATAAAAAATTATTAAATTATATCATATATAAACAAACAATTTTCTTTTATCAATGCAGCAAAAATTCAATGTATAATTCATTCATGTGTATATTTATTCACTCATATATATTATATTCATTCACATCGTGAATACACGCAAAATTCTTCCTCCACAAATTTTGCCGTTTAACCTTTTTTCCATAACATAACACGTAACACTGATTAAAGAATAATTGATTAGATTCATTTACTTGTCTTTTCAAAATTTCCCAGCAAAATTATAACTTTAATAAATTAATAATTACCTTTTAACTATTTATTGCACATAATAATGTTAATTATATTTTATTTATATAATTTTCAAATCAATTCAAGCAATACACTGAATTAAAATTCATCCACTTAGGTCCCTTATGCATGTTCTGTGTAAAACTAATATGAATTGAAACTTATATCCCCATATTTTATTAATTATAATGTGAATTTAAACGTGTAATGAAAAATATTTCTATACTTAAGGAATAATATTAAAATATTAGGAAATTAAAAATTTAGAAATAAAATTCCTAAATTCTCATATTTCATAATTAGAATTTATAAAAATTGAGAAAGGAGAACCAGATAAATAAAAATAAAAATCACACAATCTCAAAACATACTTTATATACCTTATAACTATTATAAAGATCTTAAAATCTATTAATCTTACATCAATTATCATTAACGAGAAACTTACTTTATTTATAAAAAATTCATTGAAAATAAGTTCTTCAATATCTTATTTTCAATTTATACCTATCATAAAGATCTTAAAATCTATTAATCTTACATTAATTATCATTAACGAGAAACTTACTTTATTTATGAAAAATTCATTGAAAATAAGTTCTTCAATATCTTATTTTCAATTTATCTTTTTTTCTTACTTTGTTATGATTAACAATGAATAGTATTGGTAACATAGACAAAATTCTTACTTTCTTTCTATAATTAACTTTGATCAAATTAGTTATTATTAATCTTAAAAGATAACTTTTTATACTATCTACTAAATTTACTATTAATTTTAAAATTTCTCATACTAACTAACTACATGAGTCATTTTTTTCTAATATACACTTCATTCCATATGCCTACTAGTATTTTTAGTGAAAAAATGGTTTGACAATTTCACTATTTAATTTCCAATTTTTTAAGTGTCACTTTTTTAAAATAAATAACTTTATTACTTATAAGTTCTTTTTATTTAAACTAATAAGTAACAAAATTTCAATTTAAAGAATATAAAATCACATAAATTAATATTTTATTCAATAATTAATATGAAATCAATTATTATCAAGGATATTTTACATATTATTTAATAAAAATATTTATAAAATTTTATTGATTATTGATTTTGATTTTCAATATTAGCTTAAACATTAAAGTGTGAAAATTTAAATGTGAAAAAAATGTAAAATGAATATAAAAAAAATGTAAATGCGCAAGAAAAAAAATGTGAAATACAAAGAGTATAAATTATCAAAGATAAAATAAAAAATGGTACAAATAATTAATAAAAAAGATAATCTAAATAATAAAAAAATTCATTGAAATAACTTTTTTTCATATTCATAACATCTAAATACAATCTGTCATTACCATTTTTTCCTTATTCGTCCCTATTTATATTATTATTATTATTATTTGTAACTGCTAAATGGTTTTCTTCTCAATCAATCCTTTTCTCCTCTTCATCGAGATTATCTCAATAGTATTTGTAATCAACCTTGTAAGTTTAATCATCCCCCATTTCCTAGATTATTTGTAACTTCCTTTTGACAACAATTTTCCCTCAACTATTTGCTTTCTCCATCTGTTTTCTATCGCTGCACCTCCTTATAGATTTCGAAAACTCATTTTTCACTTGTTTCCTTTATCTCACTCTTTCTCCTTCTATCATTAATTTTATTTGATATCTTATTTTATCTTAGTATTTATTAAAATTCTTTAGATCCATTTATAAATTTACAAGTAACAACTAGATTCACGAGTAACTTGTATATTATCATAGAAATTTAAGAACATAATTATATTCATGTCAATTATTTTTTCTTTTCTAAAATTTCTCCTCACGTGTTTATGTTTGTAGCAAATTTTCTTTATATTCGTAATACATGTATTTTAGTTTTTCTTCTTTTTTATTTTAAAAAAAATCTTTATATTATGAGTAAACTTTGATATATCTTTTCGACTTCTTCCATTCATAATGCGGAGCTTTTCTATTTCGGCATCCGCATGCTCTTGTTTCGTTATAGTCGATACACTGGCTGAAAAAGGTTATTTGTTCTCTATTACAAAAAATCTTGATTTCTTTTAACAAGCTTATTAAACAAATTTTATAATTATAACCAATTATAATAGCAATATATTATTTAAGAGATAAATAGTTTAATATTCTTACAACTTTAATTATTTTTCCGAAATTCATAAAAGTTAATTTCACTGTTAAATTAGTTTCAACTTAATGAGTATTGCACCTCAATCTATATAATCTTATTAAATAAAAAAATTAGTATAATAAAAAACTATTTTTAAGGAGGATTAAAACAAAATTTCACCGTGATCAAGTTAATAGAACGCATGCAGTTAAATAGTAAAAGTATTTATTGTGACAAATTAATCATTTTATTTGAGATTATGAGATTAAATAATCTCAAGTCATCAAATTATATGATCAATCAATTCATCGCGAGATAAAGACAGTATTAATATAGTGGAAGCATGGAACTGAACAAGGTTAATGCGGCGTAGAAGAAACAAATATACGTATACACCACTCTATCTATTCATCGTAGCTCGAAAGATGACGAAGATGATGATGATTAATCAAATTTTGGCATCAACGGTGGTGAGTGTCCCGTCACTGGAACAAAACAAAAATGTGGCTGTGGCTGTTGCTGTTGCAGTTCAATGTTATTATTTCAAACACTAATCTCTCACTCACTCTAAGCCTCATGTTCCTTAAATTTTTTTTTTTTTAATTTTTCTTTCTCCAAACTCTTAAATTATTATACAAAAATAATAACCACAACGTAACAACATGGCATCCACTCTCTCCCTCCGGCCCGACCGACTCTTGCCCGGTTCGATCTTCCCCAGACCGCCGGTTCGCTTTCTCCTGCCCAAACCAATAGCGCCCGAACCGTGGCGCGCTGTGCCGCTGCTGCGGATACAGTGCCGCCGTAGGACGGTGGCGCCGGTCCACGCCGGCTCGCGCGCCGATGACTCCGCGCCGTTCGAGATGTCGGTGGAGAACGCGCTGAAGCTGCTGGGCGTGTCGGAGGGCGCGTCCTTCGACGACATACTCCGCGCCAAAGACGTAATCCTCGCCAATTGCAAAGATGACCAAGATGCCATTGCTCAGGTTGGGTTTTCTTCAATTTCGCTCCAATTTTCGTTACGAGAGTCAAATTCACGTCGCGCTTGGTTTTTAATGTTAGTTCCAGCTCAAGTTTGAGAAGGTGGAGCATGAAATTAGCGCAAAACATTCCTTAAGTGTTCTTCGTTCTATTGCCTTATCAGTATTAGAGTTTCGAATCTATGCTGATATATATTTAATGTGATGATTTATCATGACCGCTTAGAAAAAAAATCTGCATCTAAGTTTTCTCTATAACATTAACCTTTCCACTCGGGGCCTGACTTAATTTCGGCTTCTCTTTTGTTTTTATATGGATATACTATTTGTTAAATATATTTCTCAATTTTTAATCGATGATTTCCTATTTCCTCGGCAATTTTTTTTGTCACCTCATGACTTGAGTGGATTTTGGTAGTGTATGTGGCGTGTTGATTGGAAACAAAAGTGATGGGTAATATTTATCGTTTCAGGATTAAATATTAGTGCTTGTTATTAATTGAGAATGGTGAGGTTTGTTTGAATAAGGGAAGCATTAAATTTTGTTTGAATAACCTTCTCACTGGATACTTAGGGGATCAAAAAGGACTTCTGGGTTTGGTACAAGTTGAATAGAAGCTTTTAGGAATTGTCGATTTTTCGAATAATATAGAATGCTTATGTTATTTTCATAGGAACAGGACCTATTTTCTGCGACATATTATATCTTGAATCGTGCATCCATAAAGAAGAACATAAGAAGGTAAAATGAATTAAACTTTTTTCAAGTTAAAATTAGCTTGTACATGAGTAAAAATCAGCTTCTAGAGAAGCCAAATCAAACTGGTTAACACCTTCTTGAATTCTGAATAAAGTGGATTTGGATATTGACATAATTAGTTGGCGTTTTTTTAGGTTGAGGCTGCATATGACATGTTGCTTATGCAGAGCCTAACTCAGCGGAGGGCAGGGAAAGTAGCAAACAGTAGTGTTCGTTATGCTGATGTCAAACGTGTTAAGCCCCCAACTGTGGCATCAATGCCTCAATGGTTGAAGAATTCACCTGTGTCAATTGAGTCACCTTCCACCAGTGATCTCGGTTTACAAGCTGGAGTGTACGGTGCATTGATGGGTTTAACCTATCTTAACGGGGCTTCTGCACCTGTTGCAGCTTATGCTGGGGCTGATGTTCCTGGACTCCTCTTGGCTGGTAGCTTTGGTGCTTCCCTATATTTCATGACCAAAAAGAATGTCAAGTTAGGTAAGGAGCGTTCTCATCTTGTGCACTCTATAATCAGTTAATTGCAATTCAAAGGGATTTTTGTTTCGTGACTGACAATATTCATATTGACTTGTATATCGGAAAGGAAGTGAGAATTGGAAAGGCCATAAATGAATGGGAGAACTATAGAAAAGGGGGAAATAGTGAGATTTACCCTCTTGTTTTCCTTTGTTGATTACAGATATGTATGAGATGAAAGCAAGTGATGTGAATCAACCACAACTTTTGGATTCTCTGAAAAGAATTGTCGTATGATTCATCTAACTATTCCCAACTAGTGGGATGAAACTTGGTTGTTGCTTGTTATTGTGGTTGTCTATGACGACAAAAGTTTGTAGATTGTTATTTTCTGAGGTGATGCAAGATCTATCTCCATGATGAGATTCTGCAAGAGCTATTCATGATAGCATTCTGTATTGTAATTAGGAAGGAGCGCACAATTAGTGGCTGTCTTGTTTACTAGTTCACCGGACTACGTCAAAAAATTGAGGTCAACCTATCGACTTCATTTATTATATTCTCTCAGACTCCCAATATTAAAAGATGGGTTTATAGAAAAGACATATATTTCTAATGCTGCTGAGCTGGATATTACTTCATGTCAATGGGATGAGGTCTTAATTTATCTAACATGATAGTTATGTCTATACAAACAGCTGTGTGGAAGAAATAAGAAGTATCAAGTAATGCACTGCAGTTGAAAAAGTTTATCTACTTAACAAATGACACTTCTATATGTATGTTGTTGAATTGAGATATTTTTCTAAGCTTGTCAGACTTTTTGCCTCTTTCTTAGACTCTGCTCTATTTTTTTTGGATTAGTTATAACACATGTTTCATTCCTTTCTCATTGTCCTCCTTTTTTAATCTTATTAATTTTTGCAGGGAAGGCCACTGTCATAACCATAGGAGGGCTTGTAGCTGGAGCTGTTGTAGGGTCAGCTGTAGAGAACTGGTTGCAGGTAGATATTGTCCCATTCCTGGGCATACACTCCCCTGCTGCTGTTGTTAGTGAAATCATTATTATATCTCAATTCTTGGTTTCTCTGTACCTAAGGTAAACTGGAAAGCATGGTGATCTTACATTAAATTGTGAAACCTGTAATTATTCATTTGCATGCAGCTTGTTCATACCCTAATGTAGACAGGGGAGGCTATAGGACTCATAGCTGGCTGCCCCCCCTGTGGTTGTGTCAGCTGGAGAGAACTCTTATACCATTTCTGGACATACACTCCCCCAATGTTGTTGTTGGTGATATCATGACTCTCTCATCTCTTGGTTTTCTCTGTACCCAAGGTAGACAGGAAAATATGGTGATCTTATTTGAAAATGTGAAACTTGTAACTACTCATTTGCATGCAGCGTGATCATACCCAAGCTATTTAAAAGGATGTGAAATCATTGCATATTGTACAAATCTATGAATAGAATGCAGTTGTTCATCTGGCAAATTAGAAGCGTGAAACTTACATTGGAAAGGTGCATAATATTGCAATCTCAATAAGTCTTGCTTTGTTTAATAGGCTAAAAGAAAATAAAATAAAATACTTGGGAGTTCTGTTTCCTTTTTAATCCTTTAAAGGTGTTTTTAACACTTCATTCAAATTTGAAACACTATCTCACATGGAAGTGATTTTCCTAATACAAAGGGCAATATCCTGTTTAGATTTGTGTACATATTTATGTGTTATGGGTTCTCCCATGATCGATGCTGTTGATGTGCTTTACATGTTTATGGTGTATATCAAACCATGTTGTTTCTATGAACACGTGCTACATTTTGGCGTTTTGTTCCAGAGCTTTATGATAATACTTCTGTCTTGTGTTTTTCCTGTGGGTCATAAGCTCTTGCCTTTTCTGTACTTGTACATCTCACGCACAGACTGCACCCTCACCCTTTTCACCATGCGATACAACAAACAAATGCTTAGAAAAAAAATAGTTAAATTATAATAAAGAAAGCGAAAAGGAGTGAAATTCACTTATTTCACCAAATGTTAGGTTGGTTTATACACGCACACATATAATAACGCAAGTTGTGTGGTTAAGTGTTCTTCTGTAATGTCAAAATTTGCATCTGGGAATTTTTGTTAAGAAATGCAACCTCACTGATCCATGCAAGTTTCCGTTACTTTCTTGGGAAAACCCTAAGAAAAGAAGAAACAAAGAAGGTACAAATATACATATGATCAGTACGGTGATGAATTAGAATGTGTTTGGATATCACTTCCGAACTGAACCTACATTCAACCCAATCCAATACTCACTTTGCTTGTTCGAGTATTCATTGAAAAATATAAACCTTTCAATCAGTATAAATGCAACTGCGAGTGAGATTTGAGTTTGTAGTAAATGTGGTGAGTACATAGCTGACAACTTCGTTGAAATTAATGTCACATGAGACATTGAGGTAAGTTTGTTGGAAAATGAATATTCTATCGTTAATTTATTACAGTAAATGACTTAATCTTAACCGAGGTATAGTAGCATCACTCAGGTGGTAGAACCAAATGCATTAATTTATTTTCAAGAGTACGTTTATTGGTACATTTTTTTTAGGTATATCAAGAGTATGCTTGATTTGATAAAATATTTTTTAATGGTACAAATAATTTTGAAATTATTTCTTTTTCATTTACCCTCTGATGGATTTTATATTAAATAAAATGAGAAGAAGAAAAAAAATATATATATTATTTTTATTATTTTTTATATAAATATTATTTAAATTTTAAAATTAAAATTTTATTTTTAATATTATTTTTATTATTTTTAATTATATATTTTATTTAATTTTTTTATTTTAAAAAAGTGAGTAAGTTTAAAGTTGAAATTCAGTTTACGGAAATCTAATTCCAAATACAACAGTGAAAGAGGTTCAGTTAAGTAAATAATTATATGAGAAGTTCAGTTAAGTAAATAATTATACAAGAGGTTTTATTATGTGTATATATATAATATAATAATATTATTTTAGTAAAAAAAAGTAAGAAAAGGGAGGACCAAACCAAACTAACAGCATTGCTTGAATATTTTTAAGAGATTTTTTATTTTTCGTCTCCAGATTAAAATATTTAGAACTAATTTTTTTATACTAATAAAATTAACATCTTTTGTTTTCAATTATTGAAAGCTCCATGCTCATTTTCAAAGTAAAATTGCAAAGATCTAAACATTTAACTACTCTTATAGGAGACATTAATAATAGTTGTTTTAATGAAAAATCGTCGGAATCAACACAATTAGCTTTTGTTCTTCCCAGGCGCGGTCCACACGTTTAACGAATAAATTAAACATCTTTTTGTAGAGCCCAAGAATAACAATGCTTATATTATAAACAAATTAAACATGATGTACAAGAATTCTTTGACTTAACAAAAGTGCTTCTCAACACAATATTAAAATTTCACGTGATTAATAAAATTTTCGGTTGATTTTAATAATTAACGAATATTTTATGAAGCATTATAGATATTATTAATTTACTTTGCTTTTATGGACTTCGTAATAATAGCTTCTAAAAGAATACATAACAAAACAATTTAAGTACGAGTATTTTTTTGTTGTGTTACATTCCACTTAGAATACTTACATAGTTATTTTATGTATTTTGTAAGTTATCTCATGAGCCATTTATTTTCATAACTCTTTTTCTAAAAAATTACAAGTCAACCCAATCAACACACCAAAAGTTAAACTGAAGTCAGATTTTCAATCCAATTCTGGAACAAATCTAACATTCCCACCAAGATAATTCAGAATCTTGTAAGAGTTTCCTCTCTCAGAACCTCATTCAGCTATCACAAGTGTTACCCCACTTGATCATATTCCTTCATTTATCTTACTTTTCATCTGCTAAACACGAAGTGGGGGAAATATTTAGAATTGGCAATGAACACAGTGAACAGTCAGCAACAATACATTAGTGCACTCCATCAACTAAACATAAAAATTGATGTCTCAGCGAGCTGCTTCGACATAACACAAGACATAATAATAGCATAATTACTTACATGATAAAGCACCCCAAAGCCACAGATATCCCTCACTAACACTATTGTCCGTTTTGGCTGTTGCAATTTTCGACATTGCAGCCACCCTCTATGTATGTAATGTTCCCAACCTTGTCACTATTTTCACTATAACTTACAAGACCATTGTACATTTTTTGTGATGCTTTGGAGAACTCTGACAAGGATTCAAACACTAGAGAAAACCCAGATTGCAATCCATGTAAGGTCATCCTCTGAGTTTCCAGCATGCTACTGTGGTGCTTCTCCTTCTCCACTTCAACTTTTCTTCTCAGTGTCTCCAAATGATCATGTTTCTCCATCATGCACTCATCTTGATGATCAGTTCCTCCCTCTGACTCGTGATCGTCGGCATGGAGCTCAAGCATCTTAGTCTCCACTTTATGTGGTCCGGAAGAGTATCTTCTGTCTAAAACTCTTGTTAGCCTGTCTACCTTCCTTTTCTGCTGTTGTTCTTTGTTTTGTTGAAGCTGCAAAGCTCTAACATCTTTCACAACGCTTTTCAATGCAAGTGTTACCATTTTATCAGGTAACTTCTGCAGTGAAGCTAGCCAATTGTTGCATATCACAAGCAATGGTGGCCCGTTGAATTGGTATGGGATGGCAACATTTTTGCTTCTTGAGTAAAACTCAAGTTCAGGGACTATGAACTTACTCAGCCATCCATGTAAAGCTTCAACATATGCTTTTTGTGCTGCAGTGTACTCTTTGAAGCAGTCACGCCAATTTTGAAGCTCAACTTCGAGCTGACTAGTTGCAAATCCATGAGATTGGTTACAAAATTTCCCATTCGTGGCGCATGTGAAGTACTTAACTTCTGATAGAATCTTCTTCTGGGTTTCATGGGACTCCAACATGATTTTCCATGACTGAGTCAGGCTGCATTAGGAAAATGGAACATAAGAAATCAATGAAACTTTAAATTATTTAGTCCTTTTAGTTTCAAGGGGTAATGTTATCCCACCCTTTTAACAGTTCAACGATTTGAGGTAGCAGTTCTTCATCTCTCATATTTTCAATTCTCTTAGAGATTGACTCGGCACGTCGAATTGCAACCAGGATCCCAGCATACAGATCTTTCACTTCAACTTTAGTTTTGTCTGTGCTCAGCAGATCATCTCCTCTAACATTCTTATTTCTCAACTGTGCGCATTTTTTTTCGTAATTCTTCCTTGTGCTATCTCCAGCCTATGGTAAGGAAAATTTTCAGATGTTAAAAGTAGAATGACACAAAGTAGAAACTTGAAAACAAGGTCATTCTTGAAAAATGAAATTTAAAAGAGTATGAAATTCTCCAGGGAAGTTTATTTCATTTATTTCAAGGACAGGATGTTGCACTGTCTAGCAGTTTGTTATTTGACAATAAAGCTAGCAAAATAGATATGACCAAAATAGCCCATAAAATGAGACAGATTTAAGAAATAGTGACCTAAATTGAAATGAGTCAGTTATCGTCCAGTGTATTTGGATCATGATCTCGAGCCATCCAGTTATGTTATCTTTTAAATCGGGTCAAAATGACCTGTTGGCCCGATCTAAGCCCGGGCAAAACAATTTTTCTCAAATCTATTTAATATACAGAAACTCATTCAATACAGGCATATATATAGAGAGACATGGGAGGAAATTACTGACATCCACAATGAATTCTCTGTAACACATGCAGTAGAAAGAGTCTCATGTAAATGTCCAAAACTTTAGACAAAAAAACAGGCATCTTATAAAAATAAAAGGCCATGACTGTCTCTAAATAAAAATTTGGTGGTCACTAAATCAGAAAGAATACTATATCAGATGACATGACATGACATGACATGGATTAGTGACAGGGACAAAGCATTGCAATACTAAGTAGAATAATCAGCAAATATTTCATATTTTCATGTAAAAACTAGTAATATAAGCAATATTATTCCATGTTCAAAATAGTTTTGCAGGTTTTTATCACCCATCTTGAGTTTGCCTACAAGGAAGGTTTTTCATAAATAAAAAGATATTAAAAAATACAACAAATAGGATAACTTAAGTGCCATGCCAAACACTATCAAAAGTTCAATAAATGCCCCTAGAATTTATACGTAGATAGATGCAAGATGTAAGATAGTAAACAATGGTATTTACCAGTTATTTTGATTCATTCCAGCATAAATGTTGATGCAGTATCATCAAAAAACAGAAAATATGGATGAAAATACAAAAAGAATTATCTGAATAACAAACCTTAACCTCCTCAAAGAGTTTCTTTTCCCACGCATATAACCTTCCTAAGGTTGATAAATGACTTCCCGAAACCATTCCTCTATAATCATCAAACAGATCATTCTCATATTCCACCCAAGTTGAGGAACTTTTCATATTTGGAGCCATGAGACTCTTGCATGATGATTGCCTAGATGAAATGGACTTCCATGTTATTGCATGAATGAGTTTAGTCGAACTTTCTGCAGTGAGATCAGATGGTTCAAAATCTCAAGGGTTGAAACTTGAAACAGAAGCATATGAACCCATGCAGAGATATTGGAATCATATGGAGGGGCATATAAATTATACAGAGCATTGGTTATTAAGTATTGATACATGAAGTAGATTTCACAAGACAGTACAAGAATGACATCGATTTTCAAAGCATGTAAAAATAACAATAATAGCATTGCTTTGATTAACTTTCAGATCAAAATCATTGTTTAGTTTTATTAATAAAAAATGCTTTTACAAGTGTCTATAGTCACATGGATCAACAAGTATAGTGTCAGAAGATGACCTATGCAGGAATATGAGAAAATTGCAATAACATACAAGATGAGCTAAGATGTCCAACAGTCCAAGATTGGAGTATATCCTAAAATATCCAATGCTGGACGGAGAAAAGGACAGTCCATAGTGGAAATAGAAACAAGTTAACAGAGACATGATAATCATACCTTGCACATGCCGAATATTGAGGCTAATGATATGAGGCAGACCCAACAGAACACAGCAATGTACAAGTTTTTATGAACCAATTACATCAAATAGTAACTATTATCTCACCAGTTAATAATTCAAGAAACTTGACCATAAACATGAATTTGATATATGAAAAAGAATAATAATAGCACAAAAACTTCCCAAGATTATTACTTGAAGAGGGACCCACCTTTTGTTTCATCCAAACTAGAATGAAGGGGGATTGTATTAGCTTCCAGCATTCTGGTCACATCTTTACCAGAATCATAAGCCCTGAGAAAATGGTCCTCAATGTCTTTCAATGCTTCAAGCAACTCTCTCCCCTCGGCTGGTGTATCAAGAACTGCAAGCCCCCTTTGCTCCCCTTGGTTCTCAGTGGCCGCATCCACCACCATCACTGTTTCAACACCACTCATCACTTGTTCATCAACTCCTTCAGTATTACCATTATTATTGGTGTTACTATTCTCTTCAACACTCACCACTTTGTGCTCAACCTCTTCTCTCTCCACTTCTTCTTCCAACTCAGGAATCCCTTCCTCCTCCCTCACTGCCCTCAAATCATCGTCTAAGTTCCTGTGGTAGCCACTCATAACGTCACTCCTCATACTGTCAAAAGGGTAGAAGAAGTCCCATCCAAAATCTCTCTGAGGGGATGGCATTGAAGGTGGCATAGGCATAGACATAGACATGGACATGGTCATAGGCATAGTCATAGTCATAGGCATGCAATAGTACCCACATGGTTGTTCGTGCTGCTCTTCTACTCCCTTCCCTTCGTCCTCCCCTTCCCTTTTCTCTTCACTCTCTTCCTCAGAAGACTCTGAGGTTGTTGAAGAGATGCATGAGTCACAACCAATGGCTTCATGCTTGGTTTCTGAGGGTGCCTGCTGGAGGAACATGGGGTTGGTGATGACATTCTCAGGGGGTGGAGAAGGAGAGTGAGAAGAAGCGCAAGGAGGAGGGAAAGTTATGAGGAAAGGTGATGAAGGTAACGAGTGGCGTGCAACAAAGAACTTAATGGCCGCAGCTACTGCATTGAGAGAGTGAAAATACTTACAATGAGCCACAGCAAGTGCATATCTTTTCTCCACAGCTAGCTTTAAGAGCCGTTTTCTCTCTCTACAAATAGCCACCACTTCCTCTTCTTCCTCTAGTTTGGAAGCAACACATCCCATCTCTCTCACACACACTAACGTGTAGTGTAGTGTAGTGGTTTAAGTGTTCCTTATCTTAACAAGGGTTGGGTGCTTTTAGAAGATGGAGTGAGAAAGGCTCTTACTTGCTCTTTTCTCTGACAAAAAAGGAGGGAGCTTTCCCAGGTAGAGAGAACCAACTTTCAACTGGGTTTTGAAAGAAACAAACAAGTTTTCAAAAAATAGCCTTTTTCCTAATTTCTGGAGTAAAACCATTCCTCTTTTTGAGACAAAAATGCAGTAGATGTTGCTCAAGAAGTTACAAACAAAACAACACAGCAAAGATTTTCATCCCCTGCGTCACACACACTACCTAAGTAGCTGCTACACAAGAACATGGACATAATAAGATAACAACTAAAAATAAAAAGATTTATTAACTCATTATCAGTGCCTTAACAGAAGTAGATGGAGTTATTAACATACCATTAGTAGTAAATGACTAAATAAATGTTCTTGAAAAATATTACTACACACTTGTAGAGGAGAGAGAGAGAGAGAGTAAAGAAGGTAGGGGCTCGAGAAAGAAAGAGAAGACAGGGTTCTTTCTAGTGTTTGGCAATATGCACTTGATGGTTTCAAGTACGGTCACGGTGAAGAAGCATTCCTTCATTGTTAAAAAGAGTAGGAGTAGAAGTAGAGCCTAGAGACATTAAAAATAATGCAAAAAACAAAAAGAAAAAGCATAGCAGAGAAGAGTGAGTGTGTGGTGACTCGTGAGAAAAAAGAGGAGTTCAATTCGACAGAGAGAGAGAGAATAAAAACCGTTTCACTCCACCAGAGGATGGTTTTGTTTGTCAGTAAACCCTGTCTTTCTTGGTTGTGATTTCAAACTCTAGTCTTTGTCTTGTACTAATCCCCCACATAATGAGGGAATAATTGTGTTTATGACATAAAAATTAAAAATATTATTAGCTCAGTTCAGTGTCATTTTTAATGAAAAAAAAAACATTGATTATTATTAATTAATGGTTGGATATGATAAGAAGATGGTCAACAAGACCAAAGTAGTGATGCTAATTGGGATTCAGTGTGGGGTTTAGCAGCAGCAAGAGGTGTCAGAATTGTGATAGTGGTGTTCACCATAATGACAAATTTGTCCCTTGGTTTAGATGCCCTACCCCACCACTGTAGTGTCCATTGGCACTAGATTTTGGCAGTGTTTCCAGGTGATGACCCAACACATTTCTGTGCTGCTCCCTTCTATCCTATGCACTGCAACCCTCAGTCACTGCTTCAAGCTTAAATGTGTCTTTCATGTTAGGTTTGGAGAATGGATTCTCCATTCATCTATGAAAATTATTCAAAATAGTTATGATGTAAATCAGTTCATCTTTTACTTTATTTAATCCAAAACCAAACTTACAATATTTATCATTACACTCTTCAAAGAAGAATGTAACTACTAATTCTTCTTACAACATTATGAGAGATATCAGACATATATAATTAAAATTAGGTGGATTTTATATTTATTGTTATTATTTTAATACACTCATTCTCAATAGTTTATGAGTAATTGAGGTAAAGATAATTTTATATATATATATATATAATTTATTAAAATATATTTTAAAAGTAAAACCGTGCAGAATAAAATTTCAGAACACATAATATTTTGGTGTGATAATTAATTCTTGAATGTTTGATGATTTATATATTCTTTCTAAAATTAACGTTTTAAAAATTATTGAAAATTTGTTTTTATTTTCAATTTTTAATTTTTAAATTTAAGACTTTTATTATATTACATCGTGATGTTTTGTAATGCGTTTTGTTAAGATATCTGTATTTGAGATATATTTAGGTTATTTTTTGTTATAAAATGAAATATTTATTAAAAATTGGTTATTTTTAAGTAATTTTCGGAATCTAAAGTTTCCAATATTATACCTGATAACTTCAAATTTAACTTTCAAAAAATCACTATGGATAGTGAAGAAATAAAATAAAATAAAAAACATTGATAAGATTAAAAAGTTGTTTCCCTGGTAATGCAGATTAAAAATATAGAAATATGCATGTAAAAAAAAGGAAAGTATAAAATATGTAGGACCTTTTTATTTATTTTTAGTTTCTAGTTTAAAAAAATTGAAGAATTTTTTTGAAAAATAAATTTGAAAAATGATTTCATAATTTTAGTTTGAAAATTATTTTAAATAGAATAACATGACACAAAGAGTTATTAAAAAAAAAGACTTTAATAATAAATGACAATATATACGAAATATATAAAAGTGAGATTTATCATAAAAAATTAACTTTTTTTTCTTTACACCACTCTAAATTTTTTTCTTTTCGGTTCCTTTTCTATCTACCAAACACTACCTCCCTCCTACTTTCTACCCTCTGGAGATGATTGAAGATTTATTTGGGAGGGATGATGAAATTTGATGTTGAATGTCTCCGAAAAGAAAAGAAAATACAGCGACCATGCATTCTTTCATTTTTCAATCTGCGACCAAATCCATAATGTATGATCGTAACTCAACTCGTACATGGAATCTAATAGGCCCCACTCATTTTATTTTTTATTCAAACAAAACTTCTTTTTTTCTGAATTCACTTGGTAGAAAAAAAGACACTTTTTTTTCTCCAACTCCAATTCTACCCAGAAAAAGTAAAATAAAATAAAGGTACTATTTTTATTATTCTTATTTTCACTTCTCATCCAAACAATACATTATTCTGTTTTTTTCTCAGACACTTGTTTTTATTTTCTATCTTTCACTTTCATCCTTCTGTATACATTTATTATGTCTATAGAAAGATATTTCCAAATTCCCGGAAAAATTGGTGTAGATTAATGCCCAGATTGATTGATTATGTTGAATATCATGACAATGAAGATTCCATTAACATTTACATCATGCATGATCTACATGGTGCATTTACAGTCATTTTCCTCTCCATCAAAAACATCTGAATGCATTGCATTATCTATGGCTAAAAAGAACCTGTCCTCAGCAATACAACATTTCCCACATCACAATTCAAGACCAAAGTTACCAAGATAAACAGGGGAAAAGAAGATAAAATGGTGCCAAGGCAACACTTATAATGGTCATCAAAAGATCTCTTCTGTTCTTTTGGTTTTGAGGGAAGGGGAAAAAAACCTAGACATGAGTATTAGTATCCTAGTAAGTTACAGTTCACATTCAAAAGAATTGAAGTGCTGCTCCTCTCCTTGCTATTTGAAGATAACTGGTATTCACACAAGAAAATGATACAACAAAGAAAAAGATAAAAGATACAACTTAGATCAGGTACCACTAATCTCTGTTGGTGTGGTACAAGGTGCCAGTGTGTTGTGAGGCAGGCTAATACCACCCCCTCTAACAGAAATACCAGGGAACTTTGCAGTGCTTGCCCTACTCACAAGATTTGAGTCAAGATACACAACAATCACTGTGGTATCATCATGGAAATGACGACGAACACCACGGTCGATTTTCTTTAAATCTGAGTATCTCATTTCTCTCTTCTTTGCAGCTTCTTGAAGAGCGGCTTTCACCAGTCTCCTTGCACTTCCCTGAAAGAAGAATCGGAGATGAAACATGAATCCATTTTGCACTGAACTTTCTACCTGGAATTCAAAAGTACCTCATAATACCAGCCAAATAAAATGCTATAAAATTGTTTTCAAGCCATGAATTAGAAAATATTTCATGCGTCAAAGAAATGGAGAAATTTAGGCATGCCAATATCTTGCTTAGTCATCCGTCACCTATCCCAGATTATCCAAAAGATCTGCTACAACACAAGGGCTCATTTGTTCAACCACGTTAGATATAAGCAGGGTTATCCAAAAATAGATTAGAGTTTTGTGATTTAAGTGCTGCATGTCCGCCAAAAAAAATCATTTGATTACAGTTTTCTCATGGAAAAGAACCTGGTCCAATCCACTTTAATCTTACTGGTAAGGATATAACACAATCTAGCATAGTCAAACTTAAATATGTATCTTACACTGCGAGGACTGTTTTGAACTATATCAACTGCTTCTTGATTGCTAAGGTGCTCCCAGAGTCCATCAGATGCAAATATAATAAATTGATCCTGTGGCTGCAAAGGATGCACTGAAATTGATGGCTCTGAGCTCAGTATCGGCATCTTGAACGGTTCCCGAAGTCGAAACTTAGCAAATAGAGGTTCCCTATTGAACTCAGCCTTTTTCAAATATACATCACCAATAGATTTAGAAACCTGCAGTGGAAAAACAGATTTTAAATTTATGACACAATTCAATTTATTTATATATATAGAGAGAGTAGGTTTAAGTCAAGTTTTGTTTGGTAAGATAATAATAAGAATTGAATTAAATGAGCTATGGCATCTCTAGTACAGTCAGTAATGACAAATGACAAAGCCCAAGGATTAGAATATGACAAGCCCTAGGCCAAGTTTAAACTTTCACAGAAGAAAAGAAAGATACAAAAGCATCAGTAGCAGTTACCATTCACATAATAATATACACAACATTTATATGTGTATTTGACATTATTAGATCAAATTCTTATCAAATTATAACAAAATTACTTAAAACAGAATTAAGTGATGTAAGGTTATTTGTCTCTTTCTATTCTCATACTTTAAATATTTTATAACTTGTATGATTAAAATTAACCCATTGAGCCCAGCATCTAGAAACTGAAACTCTGTTGTTGCACTAAGGCAATCCAATAGCTAATCATTGCAACAATACTTTTTGGTTTATATAGTCAGAATGTATATAATGTGATATTAATGCTATAAAACAACATAAAACTCGAGAGACGTTGACATTGACATTATTTTTTTCTCTCTCTCCTCACCCCCACCCCAGTTTCTTCTAATTCTCCTCAGCATAGCTTTGAAATGCAGATGTCATTCTTGGCATCCTGAAAACTGAAAATTTAACTTTCAATCTTGGAAAGTGATATCAAGAAGTGTGAAGTGTTTATCATGATTTCATCTGTTACATGTACATATAGCAGCTAGAATAGATAAATAAACATCTCCAGAAGCTAGAAGTACTTACTTGAATAAGGCCCTTCACACGCCATACATTATGCTTTAAAACCACGATATTTGGATCATCAGGATGTAAAGAATGCAGCTCCTGTCTTATAGATTCTATGGATGCATTGTGCTCTGCCGATAATTGCATGGCTAAAACCTCGCCAGTTGCCTTGATTGCTTTTCCCAAAACTGCCCTGGAATCCCCAAGGTTTGCTATATAAAGGGTTCCATTACAAATAACACCAACAAGACAACATGACCCAACAGCTGCAATTTGTGGCGACATGGACCATTGATTGGCAACCACTGACATAAACCCCTCTTCAGTTGCTTGGAGTGCCTTGCGAATTACATCCACCGACATTGATTGTTGCTCTGAAGTAAATTCTGAAATTTAAAACAAGAGAGATTATATGAAAAATCTTATTGGCTGTAAAGGTGGAAAATCTTGTTTTTTGGATATTATTAAAGCAAGCAACAGAATCCAAACTATAATATTTCATTATTCTCTGAACTTTCTAGCTAAACAAGGACATGTTAGTAATGAACAAGAGGACTGTTTTTCTTCCCCTTGGTCAATCTAAGACGATTCCCTGTATTTTCTTTTGTAGTTGTTATTGTTGTTGCTATGAAAAATTGAGTACAAGAGTCTTGGAACTGGAAAGCAGAGAAAAACACAGCAAGGCAAGGAGAAAACCATATTCCAATACAGGAAAGCTCGAAGAATTCATTCATTTTGTTGTCAACTTACTCTTGAGATGGTGAAATAGGTGATCATTGATAAACCGTGATGTCTCGGGCCCTCCATGGCCATCATAGATACCGATGAAGGTACCATAAGGGCCAGATTCATTGGAGCTCAAACTGCCTGATTCAATCTGGCTTTGATCTTCCAGCAAGTTATTGGCTTGGATTACAGCCATTGAAAATTCACCATTCAAGTGCTGCCCTGAGTCCTTATACCACAATAGTCCATCCTGTCTACCTCCGGCATCCGAACCAGTGCGAGAAAATCCATCCGAACCCGGCCGAAAGCAGGCCCTCAATAAGTTCATCAACCCCGATAACATCCCTCATTTCACCAAACAACCGTCAAGGATTTCAACATCTATCAACTACCCCAAAAACAACTTCACCCCCCAGAATTTTCATAAACTATGGATATGGTCCTGCACTCCTCACCACCACGACAACGAAGATGATGCAGCACCAACTACAACAACAAACAAATAAAGTTAAAAATCAATTAAGGTTCAGCCATCAACAAACAAGCAGAAACCCTGTATGAGCTATAAACTTGCAGAACAAGCCGCTTTTCACAGTTTTCGAAGGGAAGAATGAATATTCTATAGTACCCACATAAAGAAATCAACTCCCAATGAAAAGAAATCCAACTTTTTGGTTTCCTTTTAACGCAACAGAAACTACGACCATACACAGCAGCCGCTAAAGATGAAAAATTCAACAAAGAAGAAAACTTATTTTATTTTTATCTCCCCCAAAGGTCAAAACCCACTTTTTCTGAGACAAGCTTTTTGGTCAGCTGATTGGAAATCCCTTGTTTACATTTACACTGAAAATCTAAAACCCCAAGTTATAGTGATCTCCATAAAATCCAAGAACGGCAACAAATTATCTTTTTCATCAAGTGTAAACATGTATTGTACGGCAACAAGTCAAAGTAATATAAAAATTCAGGCAAGAGATCTCACCCAACACAATTTGATGATCGATTAGAAGCTATTGGGGTGCCCCAGATGAAGAAGACAATGATCCGTAGAGAGGAAAGTGTATGGAATCATTAGATCTGCGGATCCATCAAATCAATACAAAAGAAACAGAAATGGGTTTTTTGTGTTGCCCTTGGAGCAAGTGGTGTGTGTAAGCAGAAAGTGAAAGCTAAGGGAGAAGAAAAGGGGAGAGTGGTGCATGAAAGAGAATTGAAAATTGGAAGAGTTCAGTGTGAAAGATTGGACACAGTGTGAAACCCCTTTTTTGTTTTTGTTTTTGCCTTTTTCTTTTGTTATAAACTCAGAGGAGAAGCCCCATAAAAAGACTAACAATGAAGAGCTTGGAGCCAGCAAAGCACAGGTCCAGCTATGGGCTCCACACCACTATGACGAACCAGAGAGAGAAACAGGGAAAGTTAGAGAGAGAAATATATAGAGAGAGTCAATGAAAGCATATCATGTTTTTGACACTCATAATTTTAACTGCTTATAATACCAACATTTTCCGAGGTTTGAGGTTAATTATTCATAGTCACACACACATAATAAGTTTATAGCAAATAATTTCTCAAATTCAAAAACACATAAAAACTTCTCTGTGCCAATTTATGGACTATGCTTTATTATCTTACTCTTTCATCTATTTACTCTATTTTGTCTCACATTATTAACTGTAATTAAACCTTTTATTATTCTTTTAAGAAGCATAATTGATGGACAATTAAAGAATAATGTTTTTTTATTATAGCCATTAATTAAGAAATTAACATATTCTAATCAGTATATTTTTTATTACACAATTAGACATCAAATTCTAATTATCATATATTATAATAGAAGTTTATTTGTTAATTATGTTTCATTTTTTTTAACATGTTCTAACTTTAAATTGCAAATCACTTTATCAAAAATATAAGTCCTAACCAATATTAAGTATTAATGATTTATGCTTAAAAATATGGTAAAATATATATTTATTTTAATTTAAGAAAATGTTATTTGGACCACCTCCTTTTTCAAATTCATCAATCCAATAATTATATATAAATATATAAAATAAATTTTATATTTATTATTAAATAGAAGTTGTAGAATGTATATTTAAGAGTTTTGGGTGTTTAAAAATCAGTTATTTATAATTTAATATGAATTTATTTATCGTCATAAGAAAATGTGTTTTAATTTTTAAAAGAAAAAAAAGAGTCAAAAAATTCTAACACGAAACTCATTAAGTTGAATAATTCTATTATTTTAATCTAATTTAATTCAAACTAAACTATTAGATTAAATTTAATTATAAAAATACACATGTGTTACATATTAACATATTAAGTCAAACTCAATCTAATTTAATATCTTGTTAACTAAGAGTGTCAATTCGACATGAATGTTTCACCTTAATATAATAAAAGTTTGTGTGAATGTATTGGTAAGAATTACTTGTTATCTCTTACCATGTTTTTTCTTGTTCAAACATAGTTGTTTTAATTGAAATAATTAATTATTGTTGAATATTTGTATTAGTGGATGTTTGAAAAATATTTAGAACAATTAAATATGATGAATGCTGACAAATATGTAAATAATAGAATAATGAATCTAATTGAGTTTAACATATAATTCGTGTTTAACTCATCATTGATTATATGTTTGAAAATGATCATGAATCCATCGTTAAAATACTATTTTTATTCACTTTATTATTAAGTCTTTCTTCTCTATTTTAAAAAAAAAATATTTCTATTATTTATTGAATAATTTTTTTTTCCTTTAAAAAAAGGTCAAAGTGTGTTTCGGGTCAATTTAGTATTTAGAAGTTGGAAAAATATCCCGCACATTTTTTTAGTGGCTCTGTTGGTTTACACGACTTGTAATATCTTCAATGATATCATAAAAAAAATGTAAAAATAGGAGTATTTAGAACAATTTTATCTAAACTACATATTTATAATTTTTTAAAATATAAAAACATCAAAGTTTAATATAAATTTTATTAAAAATTAAACATATATTATTCAAATCAATCACAAATATATATATATATATATATATAATGAATAAAAATATTATAATTATTTTGTGAATAGTAAGATAAAAATAGTCTACATAAAAAAATATTATTATTCTTATTATTAAATAATAAAATTATTAGTAACTTTTGTCATCTTCATAAAAAACTATTTAAACTTTAGATATAGTAATAATTTTTATTTAATTGATACTCTAAATATTATATATATATATATATATATATATATATATATATATATATATATATATAAAGGATTGAGATAGAAGGTTGGGAGAACCAAATATAAATATTAATATTGATTTAAAACATATATAATATTCAATTTAATTTAAAATTATCAACATATATTAAAAAAAATATAAAAGAATATAGTTAAATAGAAAAAATTATAGGTGTCTCTTCTAAAAACTACAATTTGCTTATACGAATTATCAATTTTACATGTCACTAAAAGCTTTCATAAATTTATAATAAAATAGTATTTATTTAATTTAATTTAGTTTTTTAGAAAAAAATCATATTAAGTATCTCGCAAAACTCTATTAAATTACAAAGTTACTAAAAAATATACCGATTTATAATAAAAATATCTATTTTACCTTTTTAGAAAAATATATTAATTATGTCATAAACCTCTTATCAAATTTAAAAAAATTGATGTTACTTACCAAAAGGGTTTTTAGTAAATAGTAATCAACAAAATTTTATATACTATTTTACAAATTTAAAGTAGTGGTTTTTACAAATCTAAACCCTAAACAATTTACTAAGACTACATGATTATGAATAACAAGATCATCACCAATTTAAAACTAGAAAAGCTAAACAGAATATGAAAACAAAAATGATGGAGAAAAAACATTGGTCGCTATCACGATTTTGTAGACAAATAACAACATTGTTAGACAATTTTTTACATGTACATGTACTCTATATTCCATCAGATTGAAAGTTACCAAAAATGAAAGGGTACAGTACGGATTTAGAACAAGTCTAAAACCAAATATAATTCTGATTTATTCTCTGCGGATTTCTTTGATTATTCGACCATGTCAAACATTTTCTAATATTTTAATTAATTATTTAATATAGTAACGAGAATAAGAATAATCGATTTCTTACCGTGGTAGATTCAAGTACGACACAGTTTCCTTTTGTGTATTTTTTTTAGTGAAACTTGTTTATTCATACAATTAAATTTGTGTGATGAAGATAAAAATAGTAATTATTAGAAAAAATAGACAAAATAAAAAGTTATATATATTCACCAACCCTCAATTATTTGTAGGGTCGATTTATTGCACGAATAAAGAGGTATATGAATGAAGTTTGTCATAAAGTCAAAGACTTGATTCGAAATGAGGAAGAAGAAGGGTAATAAAGTCAGCATAACTGCACAAGATATTAGCAGATGCAAAAGAAATTTGTGAGTACCAATTAATTTTCGAAATCAAACATTTGACTTTGTTTTTCAAAACATTTGACAATAATACCTCCGTATATACGGATAAGTATAATAAACAAATACCAGTAAATAATATACCACTGTCACATTTTCTTATACATGTTTGAAAACAATGTTTTGAAATGTCTTTTTCCTTTTAAATGTTTAAGCAGTTTATTTACATCATCAAAGTCGTTTCTGTGCAACACAATAACCCAATTCAAAAATTCACAGATTATTATATTCTATCTATTTTGAAAGGTCTTTTCTTTTTATATTTTTTTATTTATTTTTAAATTTATAAATTAGTTTTAGTTTATAAAAAAAGTTTATGTTTTTAAGAATCTTGATGAAGAAAGTGGTGTAAACATGTACTTGGTCATAGAGTCTCCTCCAGTTGCATGAAGTAGCTGGTATATTTAAAGTGTGACAATGAAAGGGAATATAATGAGAGTATTAGGTATGTAGAGATAACAGGCATAATCCATGACTACCATCTCTACTTATTATTCAACCCGAAAATAATCCAAATTTGGTGCAATTTCATCAACCACCATCACATGCAATATCAAGGTTCAAATTAACCACTGCAAATATCTTAATTGCTTTTTATTTTGTCCACCTTATCCACATCCAACAATATCCTACTTATAGCATAAATGAAAAAAACGTTTATTCTGTCTCAGATAATAAAAGCCAAGAGTAAAAGAAGTAATTTAATTTTAAGTGCGTGTTTGTTTTGGTTTCTATGTAACATGTCCAAAACCCTAATGTGATGTGCAGAATTTTATAAACATTAATGTCACACTGGACGTGCCTTCCAACAAGCTTCCTTTTTTGGATGAAGTAGATAGGAGAGAGGAATTATGCAAGGAGCAAAGCAACCTAGTCAGAAATTGAGGAGATGCAGCAGCAAAATGAACCTTCCCCAGAAATGTGTGTTCAAACATGTATACTATATAATACATATGGTCCTCTTTTTTCTTATTAATATATATACACATTACTGTGGTGTTAATTTGTCAGCATTGTGATGGCATGGCGCATGGATGGATAGCAGAAGTGACAGTGAAAGGAGGAGAGAAAATTACAGAAGCAGCAGCAGATATGCCTCTTCACCTAACATATAGAATTAAATGTGTCACAGTAACAACCCAATCAATCTCATGACTCACTGATTGGATATACTTGTCATTTTGTTGCATCATGATAAAGATCAAAAAAAGAAAAACTGAGATGAAAAAAATGAAAATGTGGTGATCGTGGTGGTGGTGGGGCAGTGCTACTCATAAAAAGTACTGCACAAATCCAGCATTATTGGCACTGGATTGAGTTGAGTGTTGAGCCCCCTAAAGTGCGCCACGTGAACAGAATAAGACATCCCTTTTATTTCATTTGTTCCTTTTTCTTCTTCTCTGTATATATGCTCACTGCCTCTTCCACATTTCAGGTTTGTGGATAATCCCAAACCAAAACACTTGCACATGAAAACAAGAAATAAAAGGGAAATTGTGAACAGTTAGATTTTTTAGTTCAAGTTGGTTCTTTTGATTGGACCATTATCCTCACGTGAGAAAAGGCTAGTTTGGTGTTACAGCTATGTATATTAATATCTACGTTATGAGCAAGTTGGGACTTTAATTTCTCTTGGCATGATCATCATTTACGAATGAGTGGGTTTGCAAAGGTTCGTACGTGGGCCATTTTTCTCTTCCGACTAATAATTCAGCAGCTAATGTACAAAATCATCAATTAATTTTCTCGTTTGTGCTATGCAAACTGGAAAGTCATCATAAACAAGTACTTCAATTTTCCAAGACCTAAGATGATGTGTATTCGCACAAGTTACACCGACAGAAAAATGGAGAAATGTGGATCATGTTCTTTCAATCCAATTGAATAACAGTCTGGTTTGAGGAACCATTGTACCTAGTCTAGGTTAAGCTTCCTTCATATTCATGAAAAATGGTCCACAGCATACAAGGATATATAATGGAGTACTAGGTTGGAAACAAGTACTGTCCAGGGATGATATACATTAAATGTAGTAGTGTATGCTATTGTACTACAACCCTAATTTCAACCCGTACTCGATATATCACCTCTTTTTTGTAAGAGTTTCAACTCATATATATATATATAAAAATAATGAAAACTATTAATCTTAAAACTTCAGAAATGTTTGAGATAAACATGGCCTAGGGTTGATGATTGAGTCAAATTAAGAAGTCGATGATGGGATATTTAAAAGAGTGATTGTTGACTAATTTTGTACCACCAAAAAATGAAAAAAGCGTATCCAACGCGCGTTTGAATACTTTGCAGCAGGATCAAGTAAAGAAAAAAAATGTATACATATATAGATGGATCAGCACTAGTTAAAGCCGGTCTCATAAAGATCAAAACAAACAAGGTACTATATTAATTTCTTAGCAGAGACATGCATAATAACGTTAATCACCATGTTCTAGATGGATAGTTACAACTGAGTTTGAAAACTCTAGGTCTGAACAATCAATCGATCTCTGTCATCATGGAAGTTCAGTTTTATGCTATATTATTATTATCTGTGAAATTTTATAAGGGTAGAGTTCTTCTTAAACTGTAGTTTGAGTCCATAAAAAAAGCTGCTAATTATATGTGATGTTGCATTCGATAAACAGTGTAAGAAGATGGGTGGTGAATGAATGGTATGTCTGGTGCATCACTGAAAGGTATATTTTGGGGCCATTCCATGTGGTTCTGAAGAAAATCATGGGGTATATATTTTAAATATTTGTAGCAATATTATTAGGTGACTAGTCATGGATACTGCAAAAGTTGAAGGTACAAATCTGACCATAAGCTTGTCTTAGAATTGTCAAATTACGTGACGTAGATAATGACAGGACGTGAAAACGATGATCGTAGATGCGATGAAGAATGTGATTATAAAATTGGAACAATTTGAATTCAGTGCATTTTTTGAGAATCTCCAAAGGGTGCTTTTGATTGAACATTTTTTGAATACGTGTGTTCTATATTTGGATTTTTATTTGAAGTTTTGGGGTGACAGTTGTTAACTGTGGCAGATAAAACTGATAACAATCATTGTTAACGCCACTTCATGACAATTTATTATATTTCGTGTAGAATTAAACAAAACTAAACTATGTGCGTGATTAATTAAATTAAAGTAGTGTGTACATCAAATTCTTTATGCAAATAGTAAACTTTTTTATTAGTTTCATTAAAAAATAAAATCTCAATTTTTCAAGTTCTGTTAATAATTTTTTTTATTAAACACCAATATATAAAAAACAATTATTTGTGGATATGAATTATGCTACGTTGTAATATCACGATCGTTAACATTCTTATCCCCAAACACATTTAATTTTTAACCATTATTTCAGTAATTGTCATTTTACAATAATTGAATCCATATAAATAGTTAAACAACAATTAATGCATGCTTACTATAATAATTTAAATCAATCAAGTGATAGTTATTATACATATTAGTTTTTGTGTAAGATAATCACGTCACAATCGTTTTTTTTTAATAATATTACATATTCATTAGAACAAACTTTTGAATGCATTAATTAATGTTTTTTTTAATGTTTTAAATAAATAAAATATAATGTTTATAGTAGTCTGAATGAATCAATCAAATATTGTTTATTATTTTAATTTTTTTATTAAATATAACTCATATTACAGTGACACGTTTTTTTTATTTTTAGTTTGGTATATTAAATATAAAAATAATTCATTCGTACTGTATATACATATAAATTATTTATTACTGTTTACACAGTTTTTTATTTATTTAATAATTCAGATTAATCATTATTTTATATTAAATATAAAAATTGTATAAATAAAATTATCGTATATAATATGAAACTAGATCTTGTATATACCTGTTACAGGTAAATTATATATATATATATATATATATATATATATATATATATATATATATATATATATAAAATTAAAAAATGGATTCATAACATATATCTTAATATATGTTAATAATGAATATAAAGTACAAATTCATAAAAGATATTGATAAATATGAATATGTTTTTAAGTGAAAATAAATACTTATACAAATATTATTAATAATAAATTTATCATTAGAATGAATTAGAATAATATATTTTTAAAAATATTCAAATTAAATTTATATGAATTTATTTAAATAAAATATATGTAAATTTATTTACTCAAAATAGAGTTGTTACTCTTTATATGTAGTTTTTCTTGTTTTCTTTATAATTTTTTTTCTTCACTCACTTTTTATCTTTATCTTTTTTATCTTATGTCTCTTATTTTTTTCTATTTTCTCATCCACTTATTCTTTGAATTAAACTATTATATTAAAATTTAATAAAAATATATTAAAGCAAGTATTTTAAAAACAGAATTGAAACTAAAAGAATATTTAAATATTTAAAATTACGATGATGATAAATAATTTTATTTATTTTGACAGTAAATAATTAACTTAAAATAACTAATTATTTAATTAAAAAATATATCAAATATTTATAATTAAATATATTTTTATTTAATAGTTGAATCTAATTATAATTAGATTTAGTTATGATAATTAGTTAGATTAAGTATTTTTAAAAATATATTTATTAAAAATAATTTAAAATAAATATTTATTTTTTTCTTAATAATTATAACGTAATAATAACATCTGTATATAATATATTTTTTATATAATTATAATATTTCTGCATCATTTAAATATTTTTATTTTTTAATAATAATACAAAATTCATATTATCAAAATTTAATTTATTATTTTTAATTGAAGAATGAGATGGAGTGAGAGAAGAACACAAGAGGAAAAAAATAAAACAATAAGTAAATAATGAGAAAGAAAAATAAAAAATAAATAAATGGAGAAATAGAAGAAAATAATTTAACAATTTATTTCTTTTTATTAAAGTTTGTGTATAAATAATAAACCGATATAATTAGGTAACTAAATTTTTAAAAAATATTTAAGTAATTTTTTAAAATATATTATTTATGAAATTATTATAAAATAAATATTGCTAATAATAAAAGTAGATTTATTATTTTAACTCTCGTCCCCATAGCATATTCACAAATATTTAAATAGAAATATATTAATATCTATAATATATATACATATATACACACTATTACTAGTATTGTTTTATTAATATTATTACTAATACTAAACTATATAACGTATATAAATTATTTATTATGTAATATATACACATATATAAACAAGAGAATTAGTTTTTATTTAAGTTGTTGTATTTTTATTTTATTTTATTGTGTTGTCTTATTTTAATGACGGAGAATAAAAACTTTGATCTAATTAAATAAATATTATTATAAAAATCAAAAGACAACAACATGGGAAAAGGAGTGTGTAACGACCCTAGAAATCGCTACTATAATGATGTATTTGTAAAGTAGTAAACAAGTAAATAATAACATCTATTTTACATTATATTACTGTAATTGTAACATAGATTGAAATTCCGGTTCATTAACGGAACTTCAAAATATAGTAACATAATTTATTTATATATTATACATGTAAAAGTAGCTCCCTCAAAACTATCCCACTGAACTATCCCTGTTGTCCAGTAGTCACATTTCCATCTCTCAAGTCCTGATCTGCTCCCACATAAAAATGATCATCGCAGTCTCATTCACATGGAAAAATAAGGGTAAGTATTAAATCATTCGATATAATAAAACAGATATAGAAGTAATAATTATATATTATGATCAATTACAAAATCATCAACACACTAAGACATCTTCCGGAAGTATACCCTAACTATGCCCGAACTCAGAGGCTATCATCTGTGGGCACATTGTGATCGATACCCGCAGTACCATTCTGACAACCTTCCACACAGAGTAGGATTACTGGCGCCCTTCATCACTCATACTGGAGTACCCCTCCAAGCGCGCCACCAGTCATCCCCCATCGACTTCTCACCACCTGATCTCATAGTATACCTGACCCGACCAATCAGTGAAGTTTGAGACCTCATTCAGAATCCTCCGACATAGTTATTACACTAATGTACTATGTACCACCCCCGGGTACCATTCAAACATAACAAAATTTATTCACATTTGCCGGATTCTGGACCACCTGTCCTCACGGCTCATTCATTCGGGTCAATAAAAATAGTATTTAACTGATTCTGGCACCAACCATCCGGCTCAGTCTAACCAATATATAACGTCTCAGGACTGATTCTGGGCATCAGCCCTCAGGCTCAGTCTGACCCACACACGTCACAACACACTACTTTCATTTTCTCTCTCTCTTTATATATATATTTTTCTGAAATCATTTCCGAAACTATTTCCGAAACTATTTCTGAAACTATTTTCGAAACTATTTTTGAAATCATTAAATTATTATCTTGTCCTTAATCTTTTCTTAAAATTCCATGTATGTCCCTAAATGACTATTTTACCCTTGGTCATTTTTAAAAATTCCTTCCATGTCTCGAAAATGACTATTTTGCCCTTGGACATTTTCAAAAATTCCTTCCATGTCCCGAAAATGACTATTTTACCCTTGAACAATTTCAAAAATTCCATTTATGTCCCAAAGATGTAAAATGACTATTTTGCCCTTGAACATTTTCGAAAATTACATTTATGTCCCTAGGGTGTAAAATGACTATTTTACCCTTGATCTTTTTAAAAAATCCCCACCATATCCTTTTCTTCTTCCTTCGCCCAGATATGATTGTCGAATTTTGTAGATTTTGGCAGATTTCAAATTACTCAGTTTTAGACAACCAAACTAGTCCCAAATCGAAATTAAACATGAATTATATCTAATTTAAGTTGAAAACAATAATTTTACCATATAATTCATCCTTAATTTCAAGAATTTAATCAATATTTGAAACTTTGCAAAATATGAATAGTAATCACCTCCAGTACGCCATTTTCAAAATCCAGGTTTCAAATTTCTCAGTTTCAATCACCCAAATTAGTTCCAAATCAAAATTAAACCATAAACATGTTCAATTTAAGTTAAAAACAAAAATTTTATTAGATAATGCATTCTTAATTTCAAGAATTTCAAAAACTTTCAAACGGTGAACAGTTCATCAAAATCAGAAATTCTTCAAAATCAGACATTCAAATAATTCATATCTTTACTCCTATTCCTTATTCACAGAGTACCCAACAATTCAATTTCATATATTGAATGAATTAAACTTCCCCTTACCTGGTATGGTATTTCTACCGAAGTTTTCCCACTTAATTCAAGTTCTCTCCCTTTTCACCAGATCCTGCACGAGTAGAGTCTCATTACTTGAAATTTAGACAATAGAAGAAGAAGGATGAGAGGACATTTTTATTCTCCTCCTCCCCCGCTTCAGTACGCGCATATATAAAAGCAAAAATTTACTGTGCATGAGAAAAACTTCGTTACGAAGTTTTCTTGCATAGTAATCTTATTATAATATAAAAAAAACATACGTCACAATCTCCCCTCCACAAAAATTTTCGTCCTCGAAAATGAACTTACTTGGAAATAGATATGGATAGGAATCTCGCATCTGATCCTCCATCTCCCAAGTGAAGTCTCTGGATTTCTGATCTCATACTACCTTCACCATTGAGATGGTTCTACCTCTAAGTTGCTTCAGCTGAAAATCCTCTATCCTCACTGGTCTCACATCAACGGAGAGATCGTCTCTAATCTGCACATCGTCTGACTTCAGGACATGACTGGGGTCATGTACATATTTCCTCAACTGAGATACATGAAATACATTGTGCAAATTCGCCAAATGAGGTGGCAACGCTAACTGATATGCCACTGGACCTACCTTCTTCAAAATTTGATATGGGCCAATAAACTTGGGAGTCAACTTCTTAGATTTAATTGCCCTTCCTACTCCAGTAGTAGGTCTGATTCTCAAAAATACATGGTCTCCCCCCTCAAATTCCAAAGGTCTCCTCCTCTGGTCCGCATATGATTTTTGTTTACTCATAGCGGCTTTCAGTTTCTCTTGTACCTCCCGAACCTTCTCTGTAGTCTGCTGGAGTAGCTCAGGTCCGATCAACACGTTCTCCTCATCCTGATACCAACATAAAGGTGTTTGACACCTTCTCCCATAAAGAGCCTCATATGGTGCCATTCCGATACTGGCATGATAACTATTATTATACGTGAACTCTATTAATGGAAGGATATCATCCCAACTTCCTAGATTATCCAACACACAATACCTCAACAAGTCTTCTAGTGACTGAATGGTCCTCTCTGACTGTCCATCTGTCTGGGGGTGATAGGCTGAACTTAACCTAAGTCGGGTACCTAATGCCTCTTGTAAAGTCTGCCAAAATCTTGAAATAAATCTAGGATCCCTATCTGAGATAATGCTAGATGGTACCCCATGTAATCGAACAATCTCGCGAATATATAGTTATGTCAGCTTAGCCATAAATATCCTCAGATTTACAGGGAGGAAACGTGCACTCTTCGTCAATCTGTCCACTATCACTCAGATCGAATCGTGCCCCCAAATTGTCCGTGGTAAATGGGTAACAAAATCCATGGTAATGCTATCCCACTTCCATTCAGGTATCTCCATTTGCTGTAGCATTCCTCCCGACCTTTGGTGTTTCACCTTTGCTTTCTAACAAGTCAAACAAGCAGCCACATACTCTGCAATATCTCTCCTCATACCAGACCACCAATAAATCTTCTTTAGATCCTGATACATCTTAGTCATACCAGGGTGTAGACTCAGACGACTCCGATGACTTTCATCTAGTATTGCTCTCTTTAATTCCTGGTCAACAGGAATACAAATCCTTCCTCTAAATCTCAAAATATTATCCTCACCCATCTTATAGTCAATGGTCTGCACGGATCCTA